GTTTGGGGGTGGGGCTGCCAGAAGCCCAGCCTCTCGGGCTTGGAGGGTAAGGAGCCCAGGCTCCTGCTGGGGTTTTCCAGGGCTGAAAGTTTAGGTGCCAGGTGTGGCTCCACCTCAAGCTGGTTCTGCAGATTGCTATGGATTTCCCTCATCACTGCGGCATCCACACAGCCTGGAGTACGGTTCGGATGCAGGGTGCCTGCCGTCCCCCAGTCTCACAGAGAATCAGAGTTAGACGCCAACCTTGAGAACACTCTTAAAAGATCCTAATTCCTTACCCTGAGTAAAGATGCTTCTGAGTAAAGAGCCCAGAGGGGCAGAGACCCTGCCTCTCCTCGGTTACTCATTCATCCATCACCTGGCCTTCTGGCCCCTATGACCTTTATTCACCCCGGTACCAGAGCCCCAGCTGTTCGCTGTTCAGGTGACCACTGCTCTTCTTACTGTAATCCAGATTAGGCTATCGAGGGACGAGGGGGGGGGACTGGATACCAAGCTCACAGAGATCACGCTTTGCGTTCCACCCATGGCTATCATTCCGCCCCCTTCACATTTTTGCCCTTTGCCAAGTGTCACTTGACCTAGGCCAGGCTGAGTGACTGCAGGCATGGCTCCTCAGCCCTCCTGGGACCCTGTGCACACACAGAAAGGGTCCACTGTGAAGGGCTACCGACAGCAAGGTCAGCAGTGATCAGAGTCCCTGAGCAGGGAGCTAACTGTCTGGGGAGGAGAGATGCAGTCAAGGACTGCATACAGAGTCCTCACCTGTATGACAGGAGCAATCTCCTATTCTCTGGGTGGCACTTCACAGAGCCACTGACTCTGTGAAGGGCACAGAGCACACCTGTCCCAAGTGGATGTCCTGGCAGTCCCTGCTACCGCCATCAAGGCTGTCATGTCAGAGCACATCAGCAGTAGGCAGTGGTGGATGAGGAAATGTCATCCAGGTCCCTTCTCTCATGTCCACAGGGGAACGTGTCCCTGGAGGCTGTCTGTCCCTCCACATGTGTCACCCTGCTCTACTTTCTCGGAACCGCTACTCTCTGCCTACAGTCATTTCCCTTGCCTAGTCAGTGACACATGGCTCCCACCTGCCAGATTCTCAAGCTATCAAAGGTTTGTTCGGTCCTTGCCAGTAACTGCTACCATTACTAATCACCACCACTATCAACAGTCGCAGCAGTCACAAGGCTGAGCTACCAGCGACCACAGACTACGTGCCTGCATGGCTCCAAGCATGCACACAGTAGAAACTCTCCTGCAGCCACCCGAGGCTGGGCCTGTCCTCAACACGCTGAGGGCACAGGAAGGCAGAGAAGCCAGGTGATTTGTCCAGGGTCATAGAGAGCACGATGGCCGAGAGGTAGAATCCGAGAGCCTAGAGTCCTCACGGCATCTGGGTGAGCCTTTGAAAAGAGGAGACACAGAACAGCTCCTCCCCGTCCCTGGTGTTCCCCCCTCCACCTGGCTA